AAAAAAAAAAAAAAAAAAAAAAAAAAAAAAAAAAACTAATTTTCAATACATTTTGTACTCACGTGACGTGTTTTTGTATCATAATTCTGGTATCTAAATATTTATTATGCTTGCTCGACATGTACTTGCAAACAGTAAAAAAACTAATTTTCAAACTATGTTGCACTCACATCTTTTTGGGAAATATGCTCGGCGTGTACTTGCACTCACATCTTTTTTGCGTGTATCCAAATACATGTATTATGGTCTTTTATACAAGATAATTTTATAATATTTACAATAAAATATGTTCGATTGTTGGCTCCTTAGCATTATTTGTAAATTATATCACGTGTTTTATTATTTACATCTTTAATTTATAACTATTATTTAATATTGTTTACCCATACATCGCACGGACTACGCACTAATACAAATTAACACACTTATTATGAGGGGTTCAACCTATTTAATTCATAACAATACTAACTCATTATTTAAGAATTAAGATGAAGCATAAAGGGTGAAAATCAGCTTGGCAAATTAACGGCATATTCTATTAGTTGAATGAAATTATATGCATCAAATAAAGAACTTGCGGATTATAGAAGATCATGATCTTGCAATGGATGAGGGGATTCCTTATTGCTAATGTCCTTTAGGGAAAAGGAGATAAACAAAAATAAAACGAAAAAAAAGGACAAAATAAACAAGAAGGAAAGGAGAGAATATGAACCATGATTTATTTACACAAAGATGTAAAACCTGAATCATTGATATTTGGAATCGTTTATTGATAAGTCTAACCGCAATAGCATTAGAATCAAATGCTCATGATTTATTAGTGTATATGGGTGTTTAGTTAGAAAGTGAAATGAATATTAGGATTGAATAAAAATTTTGTCATTTACATATGTTGATGCCCATAGGTGATAGGTAGGGAACATCCATTTTTTTTTTTCTTTTTCATTTATATATGTTGATGCCCATAGGTGGTAGGTAGGGCACATCCTTTTTAAAAAATAAAATAAAATAAAAACGAATTATTTTATCTTCATCGTATAAGGGCATCTTTAATAATTAAACCTCATAAACCTTCTTTTTACATTTTCCAACATGCCACATCTCAAAAACCTTATTCTTACCCTACATCATAAACCTCCAATAATAATAAACCCCATAAACCTCATTTTTTAGGACCCACATATTTTTTACTTTATTTTAATTATTTTTACCCTTATATTTTTATTAATATTTTAAAACTATAACTCCATCTTTTTATTTATCGTAAAAAATGTAAGAAATAATATAATTATATATAAATATATTTTATTATTTATGATTATAGAGTGTTAATTTATGTAAAATTTTACTTAAAAAATAATATTATTTCAAAGCACAAAATTAAAGCAAAGCAGGAAATGAAAATTAACATCAATGTTAATTAAAACAAAAGTCACTAACAAAAAATTTAAACAAAGAGGAGAACGTAAATTCATAAAGAAGAGAAAAAAAATAAAAAGCTATAAAAAGCCACGTAAACTCATAAAGAGAAAAATAAAAATAAAAAGCCACAAAAGGTCAAGAAAGGTGTCAGTGGTGGGCCAACTTTTGTGAGGTTTATGTGAGGTTTTGATTTGTAAACCGGTGGTGAAAATGTAAACCTTAAACCTCACCCAATTAATAACAACAGTTGGGGAGGAGGTTTGTAAACCTGGGAAAAACCTCCCCACTAAAGATGCTCTAAAGCGATCAAAGTCGTAATAAATGCATAACCATCCATGCAATTATCCGTAAACATTATAATTTAATTATCTTATTTTATATTAAATTTATTTGTTTGTGATTTATGCGGAGGACAAAATTTGCCCACTCAACCTTTTTATGGTTTTTATTTAAAATTGTTACATATGGGAGTGTCAATACTACAGTACATGGATCATTTATATTTCAATCCAATGTTGTATTTTTTTTATGATGTTGTGTGGCCGTCCCGAACCCACCGGTCGACTCATTGGCAGCAGAAGCTCGTTTCTTGGCTCGACTGACCACAACAATCCTTCTCGAGCCCTGCGGGGGTGCTGCTCGTCTACAGAAGCTCCCGAACAGCCCTCTTTTCGGGCCGGGCTGATTCAAGCTCTCTCTCCCGTTTCAGTCCCGATTCAGCTGAAACCAAATACAGTTATTAGTTCCTAGTAACAACAATAATCATAGGGAAAATTACACTAAGTAATATGCTGAAAATAAGAAAATGAAAGAAGACAGAAAGGAAAAACTCCCTTTGACCGACGACTGGAGAAGAGGGACACGAAGTCGTCTCTCCCGACTCAGATCGTCCTTCTTTCCGGCATCCTAGGTAAGTCACGGCTCGGTGGTGGTCAGGACCGCCAGCCCCGGTTCCTCGACCCATTCCCCTGGGTTGCACCTCCTCACGAGCCACGCACCAGGTCTATCGTCGCAAAGCCTCGCTTATGCATAGAGGCTCGCCGGAAAAACCCACTCAAGAGCTTTATCCGGCGATGGGAAGCTAGGCGACAGCGACGGCACTATGGTGGCACTCCGACGGGTCTCAGCGGCTACACTCAGACTCACGGTCACAAAGAACAAAAGAGTGAGAGAGAATAATGAGGGATCGGTTTTCTTTCTCACAGAGAGAGAGATATCGGTGCAGCTCAAGAGAGAGGAAAGTGAGAGTTCACTTCTAATTAGGGCAAGAGGGGGTATTTAAGGTGTAGGATGGGTGGCTGGGATTCAATCCCTAAATCCAAGGGTCCACATTAATCTGTCAGGTAAGTGGGTAAATGCCAGATGCAGCAAGGTTGGGCCGAGACGTCCTTGGGCCTAAGATAGGGATTTGGTTTTTTTTTTTTTTGGGCCAAATTTCCCAACATTTCTCCACTGATTTGGCCCACCACCGAATACAGACACCTTGAGGGACCGGAGGACTTTCATCATCGCCTAACGACACCTGCACTTTTCACGAAGCTCGCACACGTATCAAACAGGCAGCAAACGCAAAGTAAACTACCCTAGCACACATCAATTACAAGCACATCAATCACACGAATCAAAGTTCAAAGTTCTCATGCATGATCTAAATTTCTCAACAGGTAAACACTTAGATCCCATATCAGCGGGGTTAAACTCGGATGCAATTTTTTCAAGATTAACTAAGCCTTTAGACACAATATCACGAATGAAATGGAACCTAATGTCTATATGCTTAGTGCGATCATGAAAAACAGGATTTATACACATTGAATCCCCGATTGGCTATCGGAAAACACAACAACATCTTTTTCAAGCAAACCAATTTCACATAAGAGGCCCTTCAACCAAACAGCCTCTTTCAAGGCCTCAGTTACAACCACATATTCAGATTTGGTTGTCGACAAAGCAACTATATGTTGAAGTTGTGATTTCCAACTTACACACGAGCCACACAAAGTAAACACATATGAAGTTATTGATTTTCTATTATCTCTATCATTTGCATAATTTGAATCAACATAGCCAACAAGTTTAACACCCTCAAAACACTTCAAAAATTTCAGACCAACATGCATAGAACCATTCAAGTAAAGTAACAACCACTTAAGAGCTTCCCAATGAGGCGTACCTGGATTAGACATGTACCTACTCAAACAACTAACAGCATATGCAATATCCGGCCTAGTACTAACCATGAGATACATCACAGAACCAATTGCATTTGAATAAGGGACATTCTTCTTCATATCAATTTCAGAATTAGTCTTGGGAGACTGATCCTTACTTAACACAAAGTGGGCAGCAAGTGGGACATTCACGGATTTTGCGGACTATATAGAAAATTTACTCAAAATCTTCTCCACATAAGAAATTTGATTAAGAAAAATCACAGAGTTTTTCATATCACAAATAATGTTCATTCCAAGAATCCTTTTAGCATCCCCTAGGTTTTTCATATCAAAATTATCACTAAGACATTTTTGAACATGCTCAATAGACTTAATGCAAGGACCGACCAGCAACATGTCATCCACATAAATGAGCAGAAAAACAGGAACATTGGCATTTTTTTTTAAGTACAAACAATGATCATAAGAACTCCTGTTAAACTTTAAAGAAAGCATGAACATATCAAATTTCTTGTTCCATTTCCTAGGAGATTGTTTCAAGCCATACAAGGATTTCTTCAACAAACACACATAATCAGATTTCTTAGCATCCACAAAACCGACAGGTTGTTTCATATAAATTTTTTCATCCAATTCACCATGCAAGAAAGCAGTTTTA